ATGCCTTGTGTACAATGATGACAGTCTGCAACTGGTTAAGACTGTACTTGCTGCCGAAGGTGCCTCAACAAAGTAATGAATAATGGGTCTGAATACTTACAGGTAAGTACATGTGATATTTTCTTAAAAAGCTAAACTTCTTGGGCTAGTCTTCTACCTTGACAAGAGCTTTGTTATCAGTGATAGTTTAAACCAGCCATTCTCAAACAGGGTTCCATTGAACCCTAAGATTTCTCTAGAGGTTGCTAGGGGTTCATTGAACTGTGGCTGACTGACCCCCCCATCTGAAGGTGCATGTATAATTTTGGGTCCAAGACCACTTGACAGAGCAAGTAGCATGACACCAATGTTTGTTTTATCTGTATGGAAGGGCGGCATTCTGACAATAAATGTAAGGAGAGCATTCTTCTCACATCACCAGTGTAAAGGGCATTCTTTGCACTGACCCTTAATAAATTCATTTTAGCTGGAGTTCCAGGATACCTGAAAATTATTTCAAGGATTCCTCTAGGGTTAAAGAGATTGGGAAGGGTTGGCTTACACTGTATTCCCAGAAATATTTAGCTAATTAGCAGGAATTTTAGGACCTTGTTTTCATATAGTGGAAGAACCCTGACCAATCACACCAATTACCAAATCCCAAGCACCTGGAAACCTTTTATTCGTCTCCCAAGGAGTTGTTTACTAAGTAGAACACCTCTCTTCTTATGAAACTTCCCTAACTTCTATTTTAAAATGGCAGCTGGCTACCCTGTCATTAATTCTGCTTCCTTTTAGGAGCTGATAGATCAGTGCTTGGAAAGCTTTTCCAGATTCATTTTCTCTGTCTCTGATTCTGCTGTTAGGATGGCCCTTGCATTTGCCTGTTCAGGTTACTTCAGCAGAAAATTGGCGATTCTATGATCCAGGGAATCCTAGCGATGCCCTACCTGATCAATAGTACCTGAACAATATGCTCATAAAGCAGATCAGCTATCAGAAGGAAAATCAACCTTTAAATGTGTCTGAAAACCCAAAAGAGATTCAGCTGTATCATATATTTACAGAAATTCACTTTAGTTCTCTTCCAGTGCATGGAATGTCCGGGCATGCTTCTGAGCACCAAGTTGAACACAGTCTGTCTTCCACCTACCCAAGTTGGTTGTTCTACTGCAATAGGTCTGCTTGCATCACTATCAGTATGATTAAACTGTTAATTTCTACATGGGTGTCCTCAGGCTGATGGTGTCATCCATTAGGTCAATTCCCTACCGTTCTTTCACATTGAGGCATATTCACTCTGTAGACAGACAGTTGTTTTTTCTAAACTAAAACCTCAGTATTCAGGTTTAATTGCAGTGTTGGCACTTTGAAATAAATAAGTTGGTTTTGTGTTGCAGTTTGGACACTAGGGCTCAAAAACGTTTGCATCACTGATCTATCCCGAAAGTCTGGAAAATAAAAGCTTGTGTATGGAAGGTTTATGAAAATTAAGGTTCCACCGAGATTCGAACTCAGATTGCTGGATTCAAAGTCCAGAGTGCTAACCATTACACCATGGAACCTTCTGGAAGAACCTGTGCTCTTAACAATATATCAGTAGATCAATTACCATATATGTTTATGTATAATTACAGTATACATTTGTATACATGACTCAGAAAAAAAGTTGAATAACATGATATAATTATAAGCTGCTTTTAACCAGGTTTATTAAAGCCACTCCTAGTACCTGAAACACTAGGACTATTGTATTAGTAAGTTAAATTCTATAAAAAAATAATTTTGTATTGGGTGCAATGGGCAGTAGTTGTAAAGCATATACCAGGGATACTGAATTACAATTCATGGAAGTCCGGTCATTAAAAGTTTCATCCAGCAGAGGTCCGAGTCTCATGTTTGAGCTATGACTCGGGTTCTTCACATCACAGCCCCATCCTCTTACATTACAGTTTCCCCTTTACATCATAGCCCTCTTCGCATCACAGCCCCCTCCCCCCCCCCCATTTATACCAGAGTACTAGCATTAAAATTGCTGAACCCCCTCTTTACATCACAGCACCCCCCCTTTACAATACAGCTCCTTCTTTACATTACAGTGCCTGCTTTACATCACAGCCCCCTTTGCATTCAATTCCCCTCATATTACATCACAGTGCCTCCTTTACTTAATTGTACATTATCTCCCCTTCTCATCACAACCCCTCCATCATTCCATCAGTTTCCTCAGCCCCCTCCTTACATCACAGTCCCCCTCCCCTTCACATCAGTGTCATCTGTCACCCCCTTTACATCACAGCCCCCTTACCTAAATCCCAGTCCCCATCACAGCTCCCCTTCCTTGCACCCCAGTCCCCTTTAAGGCCCCCCCTTACTTGCATCTCAGTCTCCTTCAGAGCCCCCCCTTCCTTGTATCCCAGTCCCCTTCACAGCCGCCCTTTTTGCCCTAGTACCCTTTACAGCCCCCCTTACTTACATCTCAGCCCCCTTCACAGCCCCCCCTTCCTTGCACCCCAGTCCTCACAACCCCCCCCCTTCCTTGCACCTCACCCAGTCCACTTCACAGCCCCACTTCCTTGCACCCCAGTCCTCACAACTTCCTTTCCTTGCACCCCCCACTTCACAGGCCCACTTCCTTGCACCCCAGTACCCTTCACAGCCCCCCTTCCTTGCACCAAAGTCCTCTTCACAGCCCATCTTTTTTTGCACCCCAGTCCCCTTTACAGCCCCTCTGTGACGGGAGTCACTTTGGGTGGGGGGCCCATGGAGCACAGCTCACTTTGGAGAGGTGGGGAGTTCCCTGTCTCAGCTCCCCATATCCCTCTTATGTGTAAGTCACCCTGTGTCTCTTAGGGGCACACGTTGACTAATGGACGCTGAGAATGCGGTTGGAATTACTTCAGATGTGACAGTAATATTTATCAGCTATATTAAGACTATTCCTGGTTGTTGATTCTGAACTTGACATGTGAATTGAAGGAGCCGGACCATCTGCTCTTTAGTGAGATCCTAATTCACCCAACCATTGTCTAGGTGTGAATTCCCATTCACCTTTTGTTTGGATCACCCAGCTAGCTAACCTAATTAACTTACTATTTAGAGCAGGGGTCCTCAAACTTTTTAAACAGGGGGCCTCAGACCATTGGAGGGCCGAACTATAGTTTAAAAAAAAAAGCTATGAACAAATGCGGACACGGTACAGGAGATGACCAGAGACTGCGGACATAGTACATGAGATGACCAGAGACTGCGGACATACTACAGGAGATGACCAGAGACTGCGGACACAGTACAGGAGATGACCAGAGACTGCGGACATACAGTCAGGTCCATAAATATTGGGACATCAACAAAATTCTAACATTTTTGGCTCTATACACCACCACAATGGATTTGAAATGAAATGAACAAGATGTGATTTAACTGCAGACTGTCAGCTTTAATTTGAGGGTATTTACATCCAAATCAGGTGAACGGTGTAGGAATTACAACAGTTTGCATATGTGCCTCCCACTCCTTAAGGGACCAAAAGTAATGGGACAATTGGCTTCTCAGCTGTTCCATGGCCAGATGTGTGTTATTCGCTCATTATCCCAATTACAATGAGCAGATAAAAGGTCCAGAGTTCATTTCAAGTGTGCTATTTGCATTTGGAATCTGTTGCTGTCAACTCTCAAGATGAGATCCAAAGAGCTGTCACTATCAGTGAAGCAAGCCATCATTAGGCTGAAAAAACAAAACAAACCCATCAGAGAGATAGCAAAAACATTAGACGTGGCCAAAACAACTGTTTGGAACATTCTTAAAAAGAAGGAACGCACCGGTGAGCTCAGCAACACCAAAAGACCTGGAAGACCACGGAAACAACTGTGGTGGATAACCGAAGAATTCTTTCCCTGGTGAAGAAAACACCCTTCACAACAGTTGGCCAGATCAAGAACACTCTCCAGGAGGTAGGTGTATGTGTGTCAAAGTCAACAATCAAGAGAAGACTTCACCAGAGTGAATACAGAGGGTTCACCACAAGATGTAAACCATTGGTGAGCCTCAAACACAGGAAGGCCAGATTAGAGTTTGCCAAAAGACATCTAAAAAAGCCTTCACAGTTCTGGAACAACATCCTATGGACAGATGAGACCAAGATCAACTTGTACCAGAGTGATGGGAAGAGAAGAGTATGGAGAAGGAAAGGAACTGCTCATGATCCTAAGCATACCACCTCATCAGTGAAGCATGGTGGTGGTAGTGTCATGGCGTGGGCATGTATGGCTGCCAATGGAACTGGTTCTCTCTTGTATTTATTGATGATGTGACTGCTGACAAAAGCAGCAGGATGAATTCTGAAGTGTTTCGGGCAATATTATCTGCTCATATTCAGCCAAATGCTTCAGAACTCATTGGACGCAGCTTCACAGTGCAGATGGACAATGACCCAAAGCATACTGCAAAAGCAACCAAAGAGTTTTTTAAGGGAAAGAAGTGGAATGTTATGCAATGGCCAAGTCAATCACCTGACCTGAAACTGATTGAGCATGCATTTCACTTGCTGAAGACAAAACTGAAGGGAAAATGCCCCAAGAACAAGCAGGAATTGAAGACAGTTGCAGTAGAGGCCCGGCAGAGCATCACCAGGGATGAAACCCAGCGTCTGGTGATGTCTATGCGTTCCAGACTTTAGGCTGTAATTGACCGCAAAGGATTTGCAACCAAATATTAAAAACTGAAAGTTTGATTTATGATTATTATTCTGTCCCATTACTTTTGGTCCCTTAAGGAGTGGGAGGCACATATGCAAACTGTTGTAATTCCTACACCGTTCACCTGATTTGGATGTAAATACCCTCAAATTAAAGCTGACAGTCTGCAGTTAAAGCACATCTTGTTCATTTAATTTCAAATCTATTGTAGTGGTGTATAGAGCCAAAAATGTTAGAATTGTGTCGATGTCCCAATATTTATGGACCTGACTGTAGTACAGGAGATGACCAGAGACTGAGGATATAGTACAGGAGATGACCAGAGACTGCGGACATACTACAGGAGATGACCAGAGACTGCGGACACAGTACAGGAGATGACCAGAGACTGCGGACATAGTACAGGAGATGACCAGAGACTGAGGATATAGTACAGGAGATGACCAGAGACTGTGGACATACTACAGGAGATGACCAGAGACTGCGGACACAGTACAGGAGATGACCAGAGACTGTGGACATAGTACAGGAGATGACCAGTGACTGCGGACATAGTACAGGAGATGACCAGAGACTGTGGACATACTACAGGAGATGACCAGAGACTGCGGACACAGTACAGGAGATGACCAGAGACTGCGGACATAGTACAGGAGATGACCAGAGACTGCGGACACAGTACAGGAGATGACCAGAGACTGCGGACACAGTACAGGAGATGACCAGAGACTGCGGATACAGTACAGGAGATGACCAGAGACTGCGGACATACAATGACTGCAGCGGGGAATACTGGGCCGGCCGCTCCATAAGAAGCACAGACATTTCCCCCCAAGTGTGTCTTAAGGAGCGAAATATACGGTAAATGCAGGACACCTTTTTGGATCAGATCTGTGTACACTTCTCACACATCTGGGACCCTGGGCTGTCACCAGGATATGAAGGTGACGGACTACACATCCAGGGAGGGGGCATTCCACAGGAAGACCGACACACTCCTCATATATGGAGTCCATCCTCGTTATCAGTATTCACCCAAAACTCTCTGTGCTCTGCTTCATACATGGGGGGTCAGTGTATATAGAATAGATGGGGTCATGGGGGTCAGTGTATATAGAATTGATGGGGGGGGTCAGTGTATATAGAATAGATGGGGTTATGGGGGATCAATGTATATAGTATATACACTGACCTCCCATGACCCCATCTATTCTATATACACTGACCCCCCATCTATTCTATATACACTGACCCCCCTATCTATTCTATAATACACTGACCCCACCATGACCCATCTATTCTATATACACTGACCCCCCCCTCCCTCCATCTATTCTATATACACTGACCCCCCATCTATTCTATATACACTGACCCCCCTATCTATTCTAAATACACTGACCCCACCATGACCCATCTATTCTATATACACTGACCCCCCCCCCCCCCTCCCTCCATCTATTCTATATACACTGACCCCCCATGTATGAAGCAGAGCACAGAGAGTTTTGGGTGAATACTGTTAAAGAGGATGGACTCCATATATGAAGAGTGTGTCGGTCTTCCTGTGGAATGCCCCTTCCCTGGATGTGTAGTCCGGAGTCACCTTCATATCCTGGTGACAGCCCAGGGTCCCAGATGTGTGAGAAGTGCCGCTCTCCAGACTAACTTGTCCCCTCCTCACTTCCCCCTCCCAGGCTGGCAGACAAGGTGTCACCCTGGGTGTAAATCTCGCTGTAAATCCCCAGCCATCCCCATCCTACCTGATCCGATCATCGCACACAAAGGAGCGGCGCTCTCCAGGCCCCATACACACACACATGAAACTTCTGCAGCTCGGAGAGGAGAGTGGGGAGAGACAGGACACTGCATGCCTCTGCTCGGCGGCTGCCTTCCCGATGATTTTAGGTCGGACCTGCCAAACCCTAGTCCCTTGCCTCGCGGCAGATACGCCCCTGCCCGGCGGGCCGGGTAAATGTCCTCGGCGGGCCGCATGTGGCCCGCTGGCCGTAGATTGAGGACCCCTGGTTTAGAGTGTTAAGTCTCAGAGTTCCCTGGTTCTTAAAACGTGAACTCACGTTACTGATGTAAAGTTCACGTGGAGGAACCAGAGAACTCTGAGAGGTTTGGATATTCTGATAAAGGCTATTTTAAAGAGGAATCATGATGTAAGCATATTCAATAAAGTATTTTAAATTGTATATGCGGGTTTACACTATGATTTATTCTATATATGGTGGGCATCGGTGGATTGGTGGAGATTGATGGCTATACTTGAAAGCTGCTATATCTGGATGACATCTTGATCTGATCCATGAGGCTGTGATAATCCTTGGGTTGAAGCAGAATTTGTGTTAATACCCTCGCCAGTAGGTGTAAAGGCATATTATTTACATCATTTTGGTAAGGGTATTCACTCCTTACACCATAGATGTGGACACAGTGTTTCACAGGTTGTTTTTGGATGCATATTTTTCACTCCATTGATTCACTGGCACTGTCTTGACACTTTCACTTTTTTCACTATTTGAAATCACACATGGTTGTTTGTGTTTATCACATCTGTTTTATTTATATTTTATTTAAGATAATGCACTATGTGATTTTTCTTTTTATGTTGAGGTTTCTTTGTGAGCCATTGAAAGGCTGAATATGAAGATTGGTGATTTAAGTTGGCACAGAGTGACTTTTTATAATATTATATTTATTTTAATTTTATTTCTTATCCTTTTTTTTTTGGACTTTTTTTTAATGTATTTGTGTGATATATACGTTTGGGAATATTGGTATTAGCATATTCATATTCACAGTTTTTTACACTTTTTGGGGGAAAGTGTATCTTTATGCTATTTATAGCCTTATTGTATTGAATGATTTAAGGGTTACCGTAAAATTCACATATAATAACATGGTGTGGGCGGATTTCTGTTATTCACAGGCTGTGTCACGCTTCTCAAGCCTGTGTCTTAGAATAATAGGAGGTGAAGCCTCCATTAATCAATATGTAATATCCCACCCCATTGTGTTTTGCTGGTTACTGGAGGAGGAGGAAGGGAGTGGTCTGTCATTTACAACTCTGTATACACCCACCTGTGTTACGCTATAGTCACATTGGGCTGCTCAGATGTGATAGGGAGAAAATGCTCAGCATAGAAACACACTGAAAACTGAACATGTGCACTAGCTGCCAACACTGCTCTGCAAAATCCCCAAATGCATTGGGGACATGGACAGAAGGAGGAGTTAGAGAACAGCAGGATCAACCACCATTTTTGCAGATTGCAGAAAATTAATCCCATAGTGAATGAGTGAGTATGAACAGCATATAATACAGTATTTATTGATAGTTTTATATGATGTGGGTTTAATGACACTTTAAGCAGACATTTCTGAGATGTTCCTGTGGAAGCCTATAAAACATTGATCAGATGTGTAGTGTGTCTTCAGGATCATTGGTGTTGGTATCCTCTAACATGAAGAAAGTGCCAGATCCTGATATCTAACCAAAAAGATGGTGCTCCTTCACAGTTTGCAGTACATGTAATCTGATTTCTGATTATTAAGTGTTTTTTCCCGTGTTGATAGGTGTGTTATAAAGAATATGTCTGATGAGAAAGGGGAAGAAAACATTTCACCATATATTCACCACATTTACTCCGTTGGGCCATAGCAGCATGAGCTCAAGGAAGTGCAGATCCCCCACCACCTACTATGCCAAGTATGACATCTGCGCATATACTGTCAGCCTGTAAGTGGGTCCCTCATTGATTGGTGGTTCATGGCATGCTGCCTTTAGACCAAGTCCACTTCTTCAGGTCAGGCGAGTTTGCTGGCCAATCAAGCACAGTAATCCCAAGGTCATTGAACCAGGTTTTGGTGCTTTTGGCAGTGTGGGCAGGTGCAAAGTCCTGCTGGAAAATGAAGTCAGCATCCCCATAAAGCTCATCTGCGGAAGGAAGCATGAAGTGCTCCAAAATCTCCTGGTAGACAGCTGCGTTGACCCTGGACTTAATGAAGCACAGTGGACCAACACCAGCAGATGACATGGATCCCCAAATCAACACAGACTGTGGAAACTTCACACTGGACTTCAAGCATCTTGCAGTGTGTGTGCCTCTCCATTCTTCCTCCATACTCTGGGTCCTTGGTTTCCAAATGAGATGCAAAAGTTGCTCTCATCAGAAAAGAGGACTTTGGACCACTGAGCAACAGACCAGGTCTGTTTTTCTTTAGCCCAGGTAAGACGCTTCTGACATTGTTTGTTGTTCAGGAGCGGCTTGACAAGAGGAATACGACTTTTGAAGCTCATGTCCAGGATCCGTCTGTATATGGTGGCTCTTGATGCACTGACTCCAGCCTCAGTCCACTCCTTGTGAAAGTCCCAAACACTTTTGAATGGCCTTTTCCTGACAATCCTCTCCAGGCTGCGGTCTTCCCTGCTGCTTGTGCACCTTTTTCTTCCACACTTTTCCCTTCTGCATAACGTTCTATTAATGTGCTTTGATACAGCAGTTTGGGAACATCCAACTTCTTTTGCAATTACCTTTTGAGGCTTTCCCTCCTTATGGAGGGTGTCAATGATGGTTTTCCGCACAACTGTCAGGTCAGCAGTCTTTCCATGATTGTGATTCCTACTGAACCAGACTGAGAGACCATTTAAAGGCTCAGGAACCCTTTGCAGGTGTTATGGCTTAATTAGCTGATTAGAGTGGGACACTTTGAGCCTAGAATATTGCACCTTTTCACACTATTCTAATTTTCTGAGATTGTGGATTTGGGGTTTTCATGAGCTGTAAGCCATAATCATCACAATTATGACACATCACGTAATGAGTCTATCTCGTATATTAGTTTCACCTTTTAAGTTGTATTACTGAAATAAATGAACTTTTGCACAATATTCTAATTTATCAAGTTTCACCTGTAAATGTTCAGTCCAGTTGCATTTTAATTGCTTTACTGCAAAATATCACTCCAGCACAATTCTTATTTTACAGGCAATTTTCAGCACATTAGCAGTACATATCATACTGATAGAAGTTCACAGTGCAGAACACTCACCCTTTAAAACAGAGTTCCACCCAAAAGTGGAAGCTCTGCTTGTTTGCCTCCTCCCCCAGTCCACTGCCATATTTGCAACTTTTTTTGGGGGGGGGGGGAGTGGATACCTGATTTTGACAGGTACCCGCCCCCATTTCTGGCTTAGTGCGCTGCAGCAAAGTGAGCCGGAAGTTCGGCCCCCTTCCCCCCATAGTATTCTAGGACACTTCGCAGGTCCCAGATGACTGCCGGACCAATCAGAATGTGCAGTGCGACTTGCATATGCACAGTGGGAACCCGGCTGTAAAGCCACAAGCTGTCACAGCCTGGTGCCCACAGTTGAGATGTCGGCACTGGGGAAAGAAGAGGGAGAGAAGGGATGGCACAGGTGAGCATATCGCTGGACCTTGGGACAGGTGAGTTTGTTTATTAACAGTCAGCAGCTACAGTTTTTGTAGCCACTGACTTTTAATAAACACAAAAATGTCCGGAACTCCACTTTAATAACTTTCCATTCAGTGATCACATTAGTGCAGAGCACATCCAGTTGTTACAGTCATCTTTCCCAGATGTCAGTCTATTTAGCTATGGTGTTACTCAAGCAGGGTGTCCTTCCTTTAGATCTTCCAATCTTAACCAAGACACTAGACCAGCTAAGGGTCTAGGGGGGTCAAGGTTTCTGTGTCTGCTCCTAAGTGTCCTAATCTTGGTAGTTCAGCTTCAGCTTAGCACTACATCACTGCAGATCAGGGGGGTCCAGCTTCCACACCCCAAGTGCACTGGGACCCACTCACATCTTTCATATAAAGGGGCACTATCTCCACCCATTACATCTATAAAGGAGGGTAACAATTAACGAGGTACTAACACCAGCCAACAAGCTTTATAAGTTAACATGAAATATTTCCTACTTTTTCTTTCTCTATGGTCTACTCTGCTTCTCTTTTCCACTGGCCTAA